GTAACAGTTGCAGTGCGTGCACAGAGCTCCTCCGATCTAGGGGAGTTTCCTATGCATGTTCCTGAACCGGTTACTGCAGGCAGTGTCAACCTGTGTCCGGTTTCCCAGTTGCAGCTGGTGGAGGTGCCATAGGTAAAATCTCCATTAATAGCTACTCCTTCATAGTAGGGGGGACTCGCCTGGAGGCAAATCCAGCAGGACTCAGTGAGATTGGGCTGGGTGGAATTGAGGGCTTGGTATCCCCCTCTAACTAGGTCCATTAGTCTTTCTCCTGGCCCTGGTAAAGTAGGATTAGGCGTTAGCCTTGAGGGTGCCTGTTTATATTTTTTAGGAGGAGAAGCCTTTTGATCTTGGAGTATCTTATTAGGGCCTATTGGCTGGGGGTTGGTTTTTACTATTAATCTTATTTGGAATAGGACTCCAGGGTCATAGGGACTTCGCTCGAAAAATACCCGTAGTCCCCACTGTTTTCCTTGCATCCAATCCTTTGAGGCTCGGCCTGCCTGAGTAAAGGTAATGTTTAAGGGGTTGCAGGCAAAGCTGGTACATGGCCCTGCCCCATGCCATGCTAGGCGCCTACAAGAGTCGGCAGAGAGTGGGGGTTCATTTTGTTTTTTTCTGCTTACTTGGATCAAATCCCAGGGTGCACTAGGGTTCCAGTAGGCATCCCCTGTAGTTTCACATCCTTTTTCCCCTGAGCGGGAACAGTAATAATATTCTTGTTGACCACATTCTAGTTCACCTACTTGTAACCTATCTTTGGGGCATACATAGAATGATTTTTTTCCTTAGCTCCCCTCGAGATCTCGGGTCGCTACACCCTGGTGGACGACGTATGCAAAGGCAGCGTCCACTGGTGACGCACGCTTCTGACTCATTTGGGCCATCAAAGTGACAAGCCCCCACCATCAGGTGACAGAGATCTGGCTCTAGGGTTGGCCACCAAGCCCAAAGGGGGTATTCTGCAGAAGTTGTTTCCCAAAGTATACTTCCTGTTCCTGATAACACTTGCCATGTCTGGCGCACAATCTGGTTGGGGTGCCTGGCATCTGCTATGGGGAGGATAAAGCACAAAGCAAGAAAAATCAACAGCGAGTGAGTCTTATCTTTAGCGGATTCTGGGTGCATTGCAGCCTCCATTCTGGATCCGGAAAGGCGTCTGCGGACTCCTGTGGATGTGCAGTCTTCACGTGAGAGGCATGGATCCAAGCGGTGATGTCGTGTACTTTGATTGCAGTGGGAGTGGTCAGCAGAACGGTGTAGGGTCCTTTCCACCGCGGTTCGAGGTTCTTGCTCTGGTGCCTGCGTACCCAGACGGTGTCTCCAACTTTGAAGGGATGTGGCAGCGAGGGGGTTTTAAGTTCCTCCTTGTATGCTGTGGCTAGAGGCTTCCAGACCTCGTTCTGGACCAATTGCAAGGCACGCAAATGAGTCTGCATAGATGGGGTGAGGGAGGCATAGGTTTCAGTTTCATAAAAGTTAATAGCGGGTGGTGGCGCACCGTACAGAATCGCAAATGGGGTTAGTCCCTGTGGGCCGGGGGTGTTTCGGGCCCGGTACAAGGCTAAAGGTAGGAGTTGTACCCAGTCTCTAGTGCCAGTTTCAAGCGTTAATTTGGTTAAAGTCTCCTTGATGGTTCTATTCATCCTTTCTACCTGTCCTGAACTTTGGGGTCTATAAGCACAATGTAATTTCCAATTAATCCCCAACGTATTGGCCACCATCTGACTTACCTGGGAGACGAAAGCAGGCCCGTTATCCGACCCAATTGTCCCAGGTAACCCGTACCTGGGGAAGATTTCTTCTAATAATTTCTTAGCAACCATCTTAGCAGTCTCATGCCGAGTCGGGAATGCCTCTGCCCATCCAGAGAAAGTGTCAACAAAAACCAAAAGATATTTGTAGCCATACATACCAGGTTTGATTTCAGTGAAGTCTATTTCCCAATGGGTTCCGGGCTTATGGCCTCTTACTCGGATCCCTGTTCCAATTTTGATCTTACCAGCATTTACCTGGGCACATACTTGACAGTTTTCTGCTTCCTGGCGCAGAAGTTGATCCCTGTTCGGAAGATATAAAGTACCTTCCCCACGGTTTAAGAGCTCTTTCATCTTTTTAGTCCCAAGGTGTGTCAGTCTGTGTAGGGACTTTACTAATTGTTTTGAATTTTTGAGGGGCATGATAGTCTTCCCTTGATATTTCCAGACGTTTTTCTCGGGGTCATAAGTGGCCCCCAGTTTCTGTATGGCATTTAAATCTTTGTCTTCATAGACCCAATGTTCCTCATGGTCCTCATGTTGTGGGTCTGCTCGTTGGGGCAATAGAGTCATTATCAAAAGTTGTGGCCCTAGGGCTGCTTTCTTGGCTGTTTCATCTGCTAATCTGTTCCCTTTAGCCTCTGGAGTATCCCCTTTTTGATGGCCGGGACAATGCATGATACTTAACTTCTTAGGCAAAAATAAAGCTTTAAGCAAAGCTAATATTTCAGTCTTATTTTTGATCTCTTTTCCCTCCGAGGTTAGTAACCCCCGGCGCCTATAAATTTCTCCGTGTATATGAGCAGTAGCAAAGGCATATCTACTGTCAGTGTACACGTTCAGTTTCTTCCCCTCTGCCAACTTTAAAGCTTGAGTCAGAGCTATCAGTTCTGCCCGCTGAGCTGATGTTCCTCCCGGAAGTGCACTTGCCCATATTACCTCAGATTCGGTGGTGATGGCTGCTCCTGCTCGTCGTTCTCCATTGAGCAGATAACTGCTTCCATCTGTGTACCAGACCAGCTCCGCATCCTTCATCGGTTGGTCGGTGAGGTCTGGCAGGGTTCCCTGTGTCTCTGCAAGAATCTGCTGGCAGTTGTGAGGATCTGCTTTTCCTGGGAGCGGCAGGAGGGTCGCTGGATTCAGTGTCACCACGGGACCGAACTGAATTCGGTCGGTGTCCAATAACAAGGACTGGTAATGGGTGAGTCGGGCATTTGACATCCAGTGATCAGGTGGCTGGCGAATTACAGTCTCAATGGCATGAGGGGTTAACAGGGTTAATGGCTGTCCCAAAGTCAATTTAGTGGCATCCTTAATCAGAAGAGGCACGGCTGCGATCATCCGGAGGCATGGTGGCCATCCTGCTGCCACTGGATCTAATTTCTTTGACAGGTAGGCTATAGGTCACCTCCAGGGCCCCAGTTTTTGGGTTAGAACCCCTTTTGCATAACCCTGTTTTTCATCTACAAATAGATCAAAGGGCTTGGTAACGTCCGGTAAGCCCAAAGCAGGGGCTGACAGAAGAGCCAATTTGATGTGATCAAATGCCAATTGATGTTCCTTAGTCCAAGCAAAGGAGTTACCTTGCTTAGTCAGTAGATACAAGGGGGCTGCTATCTCAGCAAACCCAGGAATCCAGAGTCTACAGAAATCTGCGGTCCCCAGGAATTCCCGCAGTTGCTTGGGACTCTGGGGGGTTGGTATACTTGAGATAGTCTCTTTTCTGGCAGTTGTCATCCATCGTTGACCATCATGGAGTTCATAGCCCAGATAGGTAACTTTTGTCTGACAGATTTGGGCCTTTTTTGCTGACGCCCTATACCCTAATAGTCCCAAAGTTTGCAATAATTCCTCCGTACCTGCCTGGCAATCTTCCTCGGAGATCGCAGCCAGCAAGATGTCATCTACATATTGAAGCATGATTAGGGAAGGGTGTCTTACACGGAAGTCTGCCAAATCCTGATGCAAAGCCTCATCGAAGAGTGTCGGGCTGTTTTTAAATCCTTGTGGCAGTCTCGTCCAGGTCAGTTGTCCAGAGACTCCTCCTTCGGGATCTTTCCATTCGAATGCGAAGAGAGCCTGACTTTGGGGAGACAGTCTTAGGCAGAAGAAAGCATCTTTCAGATCCAGAACAGTATACCAAGTATGAGTAGGAGGTAAAGTGCTAAGGAGATTGTAAGGATTTGGCACTGTGGGGTGAATATCTTCTACCCTCTTGTTAACCTCCCTTAAGTCTTGGACTGGTCTGTAGTCATTAGTCCCCGGCTTTTTGACTGGCAGTAATGGGGTGTTCCAGGGCGATTGGCAAGGTGTTAGGATACCTTGGTCTAGGAGGCGTTTGATGTGCGGCTTGATGCCCTGATAGGCCTCCCTTGACATAGGATATTGTTTGATATTGATGGGAGTAGCAGCGGCCTTTAGGTGAATGACTATTGGAGGCCGTTGTTTTGCCATTCCCATTCCTCCGGTTTCAGCCCAGGCCTCCGGGTAGGAACTAAGCCAATAGTCCATGTCTCTCATAGATACCAAGGGTTTGTCAAAGAGTTTATATTTGTCTTCCAATTTGAAAGTCAATACATGTAAGGGAGTCTGGTTTGGCCCCGTAATGGAGGCGCTCCCATCTTTAAAATAAATTTGGGCTCTCAATTTAGTCAATAAGTCTCTTCCCAGCAGTGGATATGGACAGTCAGGCACATGCAGAAACGAATGGGAAACCTTACCTGTGGCAAGGTGTACTTCTCTTTTGGTGGTCCATCGGTAAGGTTTGCTCCCAGTGGCGCCTTGGACCCACGTCGTTTTGTGGCTCATGGGTCCTGGTGTCTGTGTCAGCACCGAGTGTTGGGCTCCTGTATCCACTAGGAAGGTCACAGGTTGCCCCCCTACTTGGAGAGTTACCCGGGGCTCAGGGGGGAGCTCCTGGCCCTGACTCCCCTAATCTTCATCTAATGCTAGCAGTTGGGAGGTCCGATTTGGACCTCTTCTGGAGTTGGGGGGTCTCTTTGGGCAGTCTTTTACCCAGTGTCCTTTTTCCTTGAAGTAGGCACATTGGTCTCGGTCTACACGGGGTCTGCTTCGTTCCCTGTCCTTGCTTACCTTGTCTCCCTGATGTCCTGCCTGAACTACAGTGGCCAATATTTTACTTAGTTCCCTGTTACGCCTCCGGTCTCTTTCTCTCTCTCTCTTATCTGATTCCTCTCTAAGTTTAAGGTCTCGTTCTTCCTGCATTTTTCTAATCCTGTCTTCTCATTCTTCTGGAGTTTCTCTTTTGTTATATATCTTTTCGGCTTCCTTAAGTAAGTCTGCTAGAGAAAAATCTTGTAAGTTATCTAATCTCTGCAATTTAGTCCTGATATCTGGGGCGGACTGCCAAATGAAAGCCATGGAAACGTTCCCTTTTTGGTCCTCACTATCAGGATCAAAGGGAGTAAACCTCCGATAAGCTTCTTTTAATCTTCCTAGGAATGCTGTCGGGGTTTCTTCTGCCCTTTGGGTAGTCTGTCTTACCTGAGCCAAATTGGTGGGCCGTCGCCCTGCTGCATGGAGACCCGCTATGAGTAACTGGCGATAGAGACGTAGGTGGTCCCTACCTGCTTCAGTTGTATAGTCCCAGTTTGGCCAGATTAAAGGAAAAGCTTCGTTAATCAAATTTGGGAGTTGGGTGGGACGCCTGTCGTCCCCTGGCACATTTTTGCGAGCTTCCAAAAGAACTTTTTGTTTCTCCTCTGAAGTGAGGAGTATCTGCAGGAGCTGCTGGCAATCATCCCATGTTGGCTGGTGAGTTACTAGGATAGACTCAATCAAAGAGGTTAGAGCTATAGGGTCTTTAGTAAAAGAAGGGTTATGGGTTTTCCAGTTATAGAGGTCAGAGGCGGAAAAAGGCCAATACTGATATTGGCCGTTGGGGCCCCCCGTGTGTCGCAGGGGGAGAACTCTGGAGGTGTCTCCTGAGGCGGTGTGATCCCGGCGTCCCCGGAGCCATCCCACCATGGGAGATGGATCCGGGGGAGCACTGGCAGTCGGGCCTTCCTGGTTTTCGTCCTCGGAGGATGGGTGATCAGGTTCAGGGGCTTGTAAGGGTTGGGGCTGATAGGGAGGAGGCTCATCAGTCAGCAAGTCAATCAGAGCTGAGTCCTCTGGTGGCAGAACTTTCTTTGGTCTTGTCCCTGTTTTAACCAAGGTCTCGGATTTGTTAAGAACAGGGTAAAGATGAGAGGTTTGGGGAGGAGGAAGCGGAATGAGGGGAGCAGAGGGTTCAAGGGGAGAACGGAGAGGGAGCTTGGGTGGAGAGAAGGGAGCGACCCAAGGGGGTGGGTTGGAGGCTAAGTCCTCCCAGGTAATAATGTAGGGTATCTGGTCGGGGTGTCCATGAGGACTGTGGGTGAAGATTCGGGTTTTCACCTGTAAGATAAGATCAATGTTAAAAGTCCCTTCTGCTGGTCAGCCAGTGTTGAATGTTGGCCACTCTGAAGTACAGAGAGTCTTCCATTTTTTCTTCTTGACTGTCACGGACAGGTTGTCTGCTCGACCCTGAACGTCTTGCCAATGGTCTAGAGTCAGGCTCAAAGGGGTTGTTAGTGATTGTCCCATGTTACTTTCAGAGAGGAAATAGAGAGACAGACACAAAGACACAAAAACGAAACCAAAAAGTGAGATCGCTGCGCGGCTTCGGTGGAAACCGAAAAAATCAGATGGCCTGGGAGAAGTTCGAACTTCTCCGTCGCCTACAAAGACAGTGTATCCCTCAGAAACACTGGGGGCCCCAAAGAAATGGACCCCTCTGATCCCTGGGACGTCTCCCAGGGTGGCAGGAGAGAAGTCCGTGTTCGTCAACTCCTTCTCAAACTGCCTCAGAATACTAGATGACTACAGAACTGCCTCAGAATACTGGATGACTATGCCTAGGATCATATAGTCTTACAGACTCTGCGCGGAACAAAGAACAGATAGCCAACAGGACAGCAAGACAGAAAGTTCGAGCTGGCCAGCTTACCTCCCAGTGATGTCGGGTGTCCTCCGGATAGGGATCAGGATCGGAACCGGGATCTTGGATCTCGGTGGAACCTCCAAAATGAAAGATCCACAGATCCCAAACCTGGAATGAACCACGCGAGACACTGGCTGCAAAAAGCAGGAGGCGTTTATTGCTACACAGGCGCCTGCGGGTGCTCAGCGAAACCTCAGCCGGAGCTTCGGTGAACTGGCACACCGGGCTTTGGGGTACAGATCTTTTATAGGGAACAAGTGGGTTAGCTCTTAGCATAGCACAGCAACAGTCTTTCTATTGGTCCCTCTGAATCCAGCAGTTGGGTCACCTAGGGGGTAAACTTGTTTTTCAACTTTTTGTTCTCGGAAAAACCATAAAGTTGCACCTGTCCTTTCAGTTCCTGTTTTTCTCCTGTTTTGCTCAAGTTTGCCCTTAGGGTTATCTATTTGGAACATCTTGTGGTAGCATTGTGCAGAACTCGAAAGGCTACGTGCTGCTGGAGGGGTTTTGACATGGGGGTTGTGTAAGGGAGCATCTTGCAGCTTCAGGGCACAGGGGTTAGATTTCCTGATGTTGGGCCTGGGGCCTTGGGGCCCTTCAATGGAAGCATTTTCTTGCTCATATTTTAATACCATAGATCTAATAATGAACTCAGAACATTATACTTCTTGTTCTTCATTGCCTTAGGTCTTATTTTAAATTGTATATTCAGGGAATGCAGTATTTTAATGTATGTCTATCACCATCTTTATTCTTTTGCCATTTTGTCTTTCCTAAAAATGTTTGTCCCCACAAAAGGAAGGTCTATATATATATTTATTCTCTTCACTTGTTAGAGTATGTTGTTGGTTGTCAAAATATGTAGGGCTTTGGGCTGTGTGTGAATTAGTATATTCATAGCATGAAAAAGCATTAGAATCTCAACCATGTAAAAATGTATGCTCAGTTGTATTATACACAAAAGACATAAAAGGACACATCAAACTGTAAACTCTTTGTAAGTGATATATGTTTTTTGCTTCTTGTGTATCTCAAGTTTTCTACAATGCATATATTAACCCTTATGTTTGAGGGAAATGTCATATTTTAAAATAAGAGTATATTAACTTTTTTTGTTTAGGAAGAGAAGGAGAAGGAGAAGGAGAAAAGAAAAAGAAAATCATGCAAGAGTCACTGTTTCCAGGTTATTCTGAATGACATACCATTATCAAATATAATTACTTCCACTTGCATACCTATTGCTGAAGTTTAAAATGTTCAGGTTCTTACAGCATGTTCCTATTCAAAATTAATGTAGTTTTCTAGTTAAATAGAGTGAAAGAAACCATTCTGGCACTTAAGAAAGTCAAAATCAAAAATTATAAAAAGGCTAAAATAAAAACATAGCTGTTACTTGATAACAAAGCAAATTTATACACATTAACATATACTGTAAAATAATATTTTGTTGTACCAGGGTGATAAAACCATATTCAGTTATCAAAATTAAAAAAAAGGAAATCAAAAACTCCTAGAACCTAACTTGATGGAAAACTCAATAGCTTAAATCCCAAACATTACAGGATTCCTTCATTTATTCCCATCCACATGGCCTTCACTGTCCCGGGAGATTCTGGTGAACTAAGCAGGCACATGTATTCATGTAAAGGAATTGGTTATGGGAAATAAGAAAGAGTTGAGAGTTGGATGTGGGGGTCTCTGAACTGATATTTCAAACTAAAACTCTCAAGATATTCAACCTTCCCAAAATATTTGGAACATTTTTGTCAATCACCACAGATTTCTAGTCTGAAAAGCAAAACATCATTATATAATTTCACTTTGTAAAATGACTCAAGATTGGAAAATCAGAAACTATTGGTGATTTTCTCAGTATCCTGTAAGCAACAATGAATATACTGTCATCCTATTATTTATAAGTAATCTGAATTTCAAACTGTAAAATATAGCATCAAACTTATTATTGGAGGTCCGGGGCAGTTAATAAAAATCTATTTGCCAACATTGTATATGACATGATCCATTGCATAAGGATTCTACAGATACATAGTTAAAAAGGATAAAACTTAAAGAGTTAGATTCTTGATTTTTGTAATAAAGAATCTCTTTTTTTCCTTTACTTTTCAAGTAAAACTTAGGTATTATTTTTTTAAGCATCATATTTGCCCTAAAATAGTTTAATTTCTATTTTTTTTTTTTACCTTCCAAGTCTTTGAACATTTGTTTAGTTAACTGTATTAGATGAATGAGAATTCAACACAAATGTACAATGGTATCTACCTTTACCTGAAGTTAATTATCTTAGAACTTTAAGTAAGTAATCACATACCACTAAAGTAAGTTATTGTATGGTCTATATGATTTTTGTGAGAATCACCTAATCTGTACTCCTTATGACTAAATAGAACCACCACAATAAATGCTAATTAAGAGACAGCAACTTCAGGAGCTATCAAAAAAAAGAATTTTCAGCCTCCATATTTGCAGACTTCTCCAGAGCAATATTGTCCATCAAAATTCTCAGCACGTGATCACTTTTTAAGACCCCAAAAGATGCAGAAGTTGCTGGAGTCATTAAAAGTGCTTTATCTCTTAAACCTACTTTCCTTTACACACACTAAATCTCTTTGAAATAAATCAAACTCTATTTTCTAAAGTGGCGTTTCAACCAACAATGCATTTGACTCTACTTTTTTTCACCCCTTTCTTATTTTGAAAGCTATTAAAGCATTAGAAACTATAATTCCATCAGTACTAAAGTCTGGATCTAAAAGTTTTTCTATAACAAAAAAAAATGAGGGAGACAGATAGAGTAAATAACTTGAAATTTGATCACCTGAGCAATACTAAAAAGAAATAGTATGTAGGTCACACACTCATTTAAAATGCTAGCGATTATAGTATTTCTGTGTGAACAGACACATGACTCTTAACACTCAATATTTGCAGCTTCAACTCAAACATCAACAATATTTCTCAGACTAATTAGCTATATAAGTGGTGATTGTTCTCCAATTAAAGAAACTTGGTTATTATCACCCAAATTACTCCAAAGGGGCTTTTAAAAATTTGATGTATCAAATAAACTTATGTTTTCTGCAGTTTCAATTTCCTCCTTCTCTGCTGATGAGAGACAAGGGAGCAATAAGCCTTCAAATTGTGTATTTACTAAAATTACCTTGAACAATACAAATCCGATTGACTTCTGATAATCACTCATTTTATCATGTCCATGCCTTCTGTCATGGCTCATTTTGATAATGAACAATAGATTTCTTAAATCCAATCATTGTATTTTGATGATGGTATACTAGCACCCGTAGTGCTCTTTAAATGCTGAGTTCCAGGATAAATGGTCTTTGCTTGTTTATGCAGCCAGGCTTCTATTGATTTTCTTAGACATAACATAAATGACAGAAAATGAGTATGCAAACTTGAAACCCAGAGTACAGTAATAGAAGGAAGATATTGTTCTGAGGCAGAATCATATATCTTAAAATAAGCCATCATTTTTAAAACTTGTTCCCCTTCTCCTACAGGGAAAACCACCGTCATTAATTTTGACCCAACTTCTCTCTCATTTATATCAATAAATCCATGACAAGCTTAAAAACTTTTTCTACCTTTATTGTCTGACAAAGACAACCCACTGTGAGAAATAATGGTGCTCATAAATGAGAGGCAAAGAAGCAATAACAGTTTCATTTACAGATCATTAAACAAGAAACCCGCTCTGAGAAAAGATCTCTACTTAAGGCTCTGGACTAGGAAGGCATATTTCTAACGGGTAAATTAGTGGAAATACCTCGCCATGCCTTCCACAAGAAAATCTGAAGAAGAGTTCCCATTACAAACATAATCATCGACAATGTTCACCAGATACCAAGTTACTAGGCAGCCAGATTATGCTTTAGAAGGGTACTCAAGTATTGTCATTAAATAATAAAACATCTGTTAAAATCATTATAGGTGGATCATTTCCTTGAATATCTCATTTTCTGATGCATAAAAATATGCATGAGTGTGTGCTCACACCTGCATGCACACTTCCTAAAGAAACTGGTTACAGAAATAAAAAGGGAGAGTTCTCAAAATATGTGCCTACTCTTTCTGATGCCAAATGCAAATAAATTATGTTTTTTTATAAACTAATTCTGAAACAGAGCCACACCTACCAATGATTTTCACTGTCATATTTCTTCCATAGCCTTCTTGCTTAGGAAATATCAGATTGTCATAATTTTGTCTATTTTTCTTGATTTTCCCCCAAATCCCATTCTTCATACACTCTTTCCCATTTCAATAAATAACAAATCCATTTTACTAATAACTTTCTATAGACAAATTTGCCTCTTTCATACTTTAAGAGTAGATCATATAGCCTATATACTGTACCTGGTAACTTTGGCTTGACATCTTTTGGGGGGATTTATCCATGTTGGCAAGTATCAAAATTTTCTTCCTTTTTACTTCCAAATAGTTTTCCATTATATGGTAACTCCAGTTAGGGATTTTTAAAAATAAAGTTGACACAAACATTCTTCTGCAAGTCATCTTTGTAAAGACAAGTTTTCTTTTCTCTGAGGTATATATAATCTAGGTGTGAAATGGCTGGTATGACAGTTGTCAATTCCTTTATCACTCAGCTCCAAATCCCAAATCCATTCTTTACTTCCAGGTCTGCAATAATATGGCTGGACCCTGCACGTTTCTTTTCTTTCTTTCCCCCTTGGTAACTGGCATGAAGTTTGTAAGTAGAATACACTTTAAAAGGGGAGCAGTTGTTCTTCTAAGCTCCAGTGTGGGCCTCTCCTCAAAATCCTACTAGGCACAGACTAGGCTTTTGCAGCACCCAGTGGCAGTGGCATCTAACCCTTTCTTGTGGACAGCTTTTCCGTGCACTCTCCTGGATAGCTTTAGAGCATAGTTTCAAAACAGGGAAGCTTTCTGGAGATGGTCATCCCGTGGGGATGGACTCTGCAAGCATATTACCATCCCGTGAATAGTGTTATGCTCTTCAGTAGAGCATAACACTTACCTGTTATGCTCTTCAGAAGAGCATAACATCTTACCTGGACTGGCAGGGTATGGGGGTCTTTTCTGGGTGC